CAAACACCATAACTGCTAGTTTAAGGTCATGAGTTGGGTAGTTCTTATCATGAGGTCGGAGTTGGCACGAAGCATAGGCAATCACTTTTCTATTTTGCATAAGTACACACCCCAGACCCTTGTCTAAAGCATCACTATACATTTGAAACCCATCAGTACCATTGGGTAAAGTTAAAATTGGTGCAGTTACTAACCTGGTTTTTAACTCTTGAAAGGCTGACTCCCGTTGATCATTCCAGTCAAACGGTACATTTTTTTGTGTTAACTGTGTCAATGGCATGGCAAGTTTGGAGAAATCTTTTACAAATCTTCTGTAATAACCAGCAAGCCCTAGAAAACTTCTAACTTCTGACACATTTGTTGGTCTTAGCCAATTTACAATAGCTTCAATTTTCTGCAGGTCAAACGATATGCCATCTTTGTTAATTACATGCCCCAGAAAGGTCACAATGTCTAGCCAGAACTCACATTTGGAGAGTTTCACATACAATTTCCTTTCTCTTAGAATCTATAACATGGTTCTCAAATGATTTTCGTGATCTTCTCTGCTTTTGGAGTAAATCAAAATATCGTCAATAAATACAACGATAAATTCATCCAGAAATTGTTTAAACACTCTATTCATTAGGTCCATGAAGGAGGCTGGTGCATTTGTTACCCCAAATGGCATTACCAAAAACTTATAATGCCCATATCTAGTTCGGAGGGCAGTTTTCTCTATGTCTTCTGCCTTGACTTTTACTTGGTGATACCCGGATCTAAGGTCTATCTTAGAAAATGCTTGTGATCCCTGAAGTTGGTCAAACAAATCATCTATTCGGGTAGTGGATATTTGTTCTTAATGGTCACTTTATTCAATTCACGGTAGTCAATACATAGCCTCAAAGACCCATCTTTCTTCTTGACAAATAGGACGGAAGCACCCCAAGGTGAAGTGCTCGGTCGGATAAACTTCTTGTCTAACAATTCTTGAAGTTGGACCATTAGTTTTTTTAATTCGGAGGTGGACATTCTGTAAGGGGTTTAGAAATTGGTCGTGTTCCAGGCACTACATCAATAATAAATTCAATTTCTCTATCAATCAAATCACCGGGTAGTGCATTTGGGAACACATCAGGAAATTAATTAATTACAGGAATAACTTCCACATTTGGGCTATCAGAAGTCACATTTAAAACACTGCACAAATAACCCCTACATCCCTTTCTAAGCAATTTGACGGCTTTCAAAGCAGAAATCATATATGGAGGTGGAACTATCCCATTCCCAGCAAACACAAATTCAATCAAGCCAAGTGGTCAGAAAACAACAGATTTATTCACACAATCAATAGTTGCGCGGTACTTAGTCAACCAATCCATACCCAATATGCAATCAAAATGAGCAATGTCTAATGGCAACAAATCAACGTGTAATAACACATCCCCAATCATGATGTCACACGCAGGATACACATAAGCACACATCATAGAACCCCCAGAAGATGTAGATACATATAATAAATAGTTCATAGGTTCTAGGGGTCTAGTCAATTTGTGAGAAAAAGCATGAGACACGAATGAATGTGTAGAAACAGAGTCTATCAGCACATATGCATTTTTAGCACAAATAGGAAATATACCTGACACCACGGATTTGGTGTTCTGGACGTCGCCAAGCACAAGTGCAAACACCGGACCTTGCCTTAAAGTTTCTTTCCTAGTATTGGTTCTTGCATTTGATCTTGGTGCAGAAGTGGATCTGGCTAAACTTGCCGTAGGACGATTGGCATTTTCAGCTATGAGTGGGCAATCTTTCATCATGTGGCCAACCTTGCCACACCGGAAGCAAGCACCAGATGCACGATAATAGACACCCTTATGTTTCCTCCCACATTCAGAACAAACAAGCGTAGATCCGCTACTCTAATTTGAGCTGCTAGTAGATCCCGTGTTTTGTTTCTTGTTTGTAACAAATAAATGACCCTTTCTAAACTTGTACCTAGATCTTTTGCCTTTCCATTTAATTATTGGAGCTTTCGTTTGTTTCATTGCAGCCAAATTGGATTCAACCATTAAAGCTCTATCAAGCACATCAACGTATTTAGGCTGTTTCAATACACCGACCCGATCAAAGACATCGAAATCTAGTTCTCCTTCGAATTTTCGAGCTTTCTTATAATCTATATCCACCATGTATGGGGCAAAACGGGCTAATTTAGTGAACTTAGCCTCATACTCGGCCACTGACATATTGCCCTGCTCAAGCTCTTGGAATTCTGACACTTTTCTATCTTGGAAACACTAAGGAAAGTATTTCTCATAAAAGATCTCTAAATTGATCGCAAGTCAAATCCCACTACTATCACAAATAAGCATCCACCAACGTCGGGCTTCGTCCGTTGTAGGTGGCCAACAAAACTTTTTGAGTCTCGGTACATGGAAAGACTTCAAATAACTTTTGAGTTTCTAGCATCCACGTTTCAACCTTTAAAGGTTCAATTCCACCCAAGAAAGTCGGTGGCTTCATTTTATTGAATTTCTGAGTCCAGATGATGATGTCATTGTTTACCGGTTTTGCTTGGACGGGAGGGGGCGGAGGTGGTAAAGGTTGTTGTCTTTGTCATTGCATCATTGCTTCTGTCAAAGCTTTATGCATTCTTTCTATTCGGTTCATTCTGGCATAGGAGGATTCGGCTGTACCATCGCTTATTGGATTTTCCATTTGTTATAGGTAAACAGAGCACTAATAAACATAGGAATAATATTTTTATTGTCTTTAATTTCAGTTCATTTCATTTCAATGTCAATGTATATTGGTTTAGATACATTCACATGATATCACACACTCACACATGCAAATGCAATGTCCCAACTTCTTTTCTAGGATATCCTATAACTCATATGGACTCGTGTGTACGATATAACTCGTACTCTGATATCACTCTATCACGACCCAAATTCATCCCTATAGGGCTAGTGCCATAACCAGCTAGTAATCCTAGGATTACCAAAGGCCTCTGAACAAATTAAACAAAGTACAGGGGCTAGTGGAAGGAAATACAAACATACAAGGTCCATAGAGTTGTGGAGACATACATGGGACAAAAAATTTAAAACTTATGTTTACATAATTAAGACGACATACCCACGTCACCATTTAAACATACAGACAAACAAAAGGCTTGTTCAAACTTAACAAAAGAAATACAAAAAGATCTTTAACATGATTCACAAAAACTTAACCACTGCGGAAATGGGAACCTCTTCGGAAGGCACTGTGGCTAGCTGACAGAACGAAACACCAGGCAATCAACTCTGAGCTTGGTCATGCACTTGGTCACCTACATACATACATAATAATACGGTGAGCTGGAGCCTAATGAATAACAATAGAATAAAGGATTTATGAATGATGTCCACACAATTTCAAAAATCAAAGTTCATATCAGAAATAGATTCAGATTCATATACGTAACCAGAAGCCATAAATAGTTATATGTGGTACATCCATTAGTTATCATATCATCTTAGTCTTGGGACCCATATGCATAGTCGGTACCGACGACTCCAAAGGTTCATATCTTGTGCACAAGTAGCCATGGTATTGTTTTCCCCAGGCAAGGGCCATGTATAAACCATGTTATTGTTTCCCCCGAGTAAGGGCCATGTATAAACCACGGTATTGCTTCCCTCGGGTAAGGGTCATATGATCATGAGTCGCGGTATTGTTTCCCCCGGGTGAGGGCCATATAAACTAAGGATGCTACAAATACATTTCATAAAATTGGACATTCATTCATGATTCATAAAATAGCATTTCATAGAACCAATCATATCTTATCATTATGAAAATACTTATAATTGAATATTGCTTTACAGAGTTGTTACTCACAGATAGCTCTAATAATAGAATGGACAGAGCAAACAGATCGGATAGTCTATGGCGCGTGACCTACACAAACATATAATAAAAAAATGCATATTAAAGCACACGCTCGTAAAACACTTAGCTCATTTCTTTTCTATCCTGGTGTCAAAATATACTTTAGAACACTTAGCCAAATTTTCAAAAACAGGGTAGTCCGCTTGAGTGCAACATCAGTCGCTCGAGCGGTCTGCAAAATCTACAAAAGTACTGGTTGCATGATTTCTCCGCTCGACGGATGCTCGACAGTCGCTCGAGCCAAAGACTGAGTAAATAGGGTCTTCGCTCAAGCGCAACTTCAGTCACTCGAGCGGTCTGTAAAACTCTACAAAAGTGCTGGGAGCTCGTATTCTCTGCTTGAGTGCAGACTCCTCCACTCGGGCGAGATTTGCTTCCCAAGCTCAAAACTCAATTTCAAAGCTTCAAAATACATCCTTTTGGGCCAAAACTTGGTAAAACATTGGGAAACTCATAGTATATGATGAATTACTAACCATTTCACAAAATCAAGCCCAAAAGTTTTGCCAATTGTACCAAACAGAACTTAAAACTTCCAAAACATAACATGCATTATTTTCTTGAGTTCAAACTTTCCAAATCTTGGTAAGATGAGATGTTTAGTACAACAAGGAGTTGAATTCTCATAACAAGACCAAAATATGAACATGCATGTAGGAAAACTTTGAAATCAACTTCCAAAACTTCATGATATGCGCATGCATGCCCATTTGATCCCAATTCTACTTCTTTAGCTTAATTCTCAAGTTAATCTACTTAATTCTCTTGTAGCCATGAATCTACCAATTCAATTGCAAGACTAAAGGCTTGAATTCTTACCTTAGGTATTCAATGTGGTCTAATTGCTAAGTTGGTTAAGCATGCAAGTCAAATTCTTTCAATTCTTCTTCCTCTCCCTTGGTTTCAAGCTCTACCACTTGATCTCTCTCTCTCTCTCTCTCTCTCACACACACACACACACACACACATTTTTGAGTAAAAAAGATGAGGAATGAAAGTGTAAATAATGGCCTTAAGTCAACAAGTTGCCTTATATATGCATGATTAAGAAGTTTAATTAATGACTAATTAATTGGCATTATTTATTCTAATTATTTGGTTCCGAATCGAATTCTAATTAAATTTACCATAATGTTGTAAAAATCCTAAATAACACGTAATCTCGGTCAATTTCGTGATCAGATGCCAATAAGGCCTACAACGCGCATAATGAAACAGAAGCATAGACAGATCTTTCTACGACAGATAGATATAAATGCAAATAACATATAACACATGCAATTAATGTAGAATTTCATCTTAATTACTTATTAGGCCTTCTTAATCAAAGATCATAAGCTAATCAAAGGTCGGAGTTGTTACAAGTGTACATGCTAACCATCCAGAATTTTTACAGACCAGGTGGTCCGCTTGAGCGACTTATAGTGCGCTTGAGCAAATTGCCCTGTTTCAGCAACTTTTGAAAAATACTTTGAAGTACATACTTCCATTCTCATGCACCTTTACGCATTCTTGAGCATTGTTTAGACATCATTCAAAATGGAGTAAGCTGGAAATACAATTAAGGAAATTGAATTAAGATATAGTGTTTGTTTAGTCAATGTGTTTCAATGTGTATTGCTATGTGCTTTGTGTAGGTTGATCGCCCGAAGCATAATGTCGATACAAGCCCACTGTGAGTAATATGTCTATAAACATATGTTCAAAACGTATTTTGAATTGTTCAAGAATATTATTTTGAAATCTTTATTTTGTTATCGATGAATGAAGATCCTATTTGAACTTGTAATCGTGGCATCCTTTAGTGAGTCCCTCGCTTGGGGGAAACAATACAATGACCCATTAGATTAATTGAAATACAGAGATGATGTTAGATCCTAATGGTCCACATTGAATTACCCGTTGTGGTTTTATTGATTAACTCATTGCAGTCCCATTGAATAGACCTTAATGGTCCCATTGGCTTCAGCACATTGATATATTGTTATTCTATAGGATGTTACCATGTATAATGAATTGCATTGGATATTGTTAAAACGGATGATTGGTATGAATTTGATATATGATTGTTATACGAATTGTTTTGGTTATTGAAAAGATATGTTTTTGTGAAATGTTGGTCGTCATTCATTAAATCCTTTATATTGATGTTACTCACTAGGCTCCAGCTCACCCCTTTCCCTTGTATATATGTAGGTGAGCATGTAGATCATCAAGTTTAAGAGTTGCTTTGGGAATCCACCCTTTTTGAGAAGCCAAACCGGAAATGCATCCATGATAGGGCGTTACTTGGTCTCTAGAGGAGCCAAGTCTTTGTCAACCCTTTGTATAGTCTTTTTGTTTTTTCTTTTGGAATTGTGAAACAAGTTATATGTATGAAGTTGAAATTGAATCTTGTTGTAAATATTATTATTATGGTATGATGAAGGACTTGTTCTATTTATGAGGTTATCATGTAAGTATCACTCAATAGACTTATTTATATTTTGTTATAGCTTCTGCTAAGTCCCATTCATAGTTATATGATTAGATTTTGTCATAGAGGCCGAAGGTAATCTAGGATTACTAGCCAGTCATGACCTAAACCTCTAGGGACGGGTTCGGGTCGTGACAAAATGTTTGTTCTGAAAATAGAGAAAAAGGGGGGAAGAAAAGAGAAAAAAAAAAGTTTGATGTTGTCACAACTGTGAAATGCATGTTGATTCTACAAGTAAAATTTTTAGGAAAAATAACCAATATGGGAGCTTCTATTTCCACCCCAAAAAGTAGGTTGGGCACTCCATTACTTTGAGCACACCAATAATAAATTAAAATTTTCATTTATTTGTTTGAACACCCCAAATAATACCTATCCTAACCCTAAAAACCTTAAAACCTTATACAAATCTACTTTGTACACCTCATTACCCATAAATAGAGGAACAAAATCAAACCACATTTGGAGTCTCTGGAATTCTAAGCGACGAAAAGAGATTTTGAGTTCATCTGAGACAAAGAGAGATTTCGTAACGAAGGCCTCCTACTCAGTGAATCAAAATATATTACTTAATTCCAAACCTATGACGTTTGTTCAAATACTCAGTGTCGAACACAAGAAAATTGGTTCCAGTTGTTTCATATGGATACTCAGTGCCGAACAAAATATGTCTGTCCGGATACTTAATTCCGAACCTATGAAGTTTGTTTGAATACTCAGTTTCGAATCAATTAACCAATCTACGAAAAACGATGAACAATAATTAAAAACTTACTTTCTCTATAGAAAATTGCTTGGAAACGTCGTCTTTATTGTCTATTGTTGATTTCAATATGAAATAGAATGCAAAGTGATAAAAGTAGGAAGAGAAGAGAGAAAATGAATATTTGGGCAGATGATGAATGGGGTGTCCAAAACACTTTTATGTACATTTTTTTTCCAAAGTCAAGTACTTTTTGGTTGTTTTAAATAGGGACTAAATAGTAATAAAAACAAATATCATCCAAGGGTGATTCTATTTACACACTACTAACACTCTCAGTACACAACATTAATTAGTACACACAAAATAATTTTTAGGGTATAAAAATATCTTATGTCATACCTTAGTTTTACATTACCAACCCTATATTAACACACCACTAACTATTTGAATAAACACCATTACACACACCAAAAACTCTTCATCTTTACCACTGCACACAACAAAAACCCCACAATCTTTAGAACAACGACCATCTTTGTTCGCCTTGATCTCCATCACTAGTGGAGGTTCATTCAGCTTGTATCTTCGTAGATGTTGATCTCCATAGTTGGTGTCGAACTCTCGTCATGTCTCAGCTCATTGTCTTGTCATTTCATATCACTGGCGGAGTGTTTCTGTCATGACCCCATCCCGTCCTTATAGGATAGTGAGGTGATTGGCCAATAATCCTTGATTACTAAAGGCCTAACTTGATAAACACACAAGGACTAAGATATACATAGGGCTTAACAGCGGAAATTCATCATTAATCCATTAAGTCCATAGAGTAGTACATAAGTAATATGGAATGAACATACAACCTTTCATTGATTATGTTCTAAATAATTTACATTATATACATAAACAAAAGGAAAGTACAACATTTACATCCATAAGTACAAAACTTGTTACATACAAACTCGTCCTTTAGAACTTGATCCCTAAAAAGAAAAGACTAAAGAAACAAAAAAAGAAAATAAAAGAAAAGACTTCTTGAAACGGGTCCAAGACCGCTATGATGCTTCTTCACTTGATCACCTACATATATATAAAAGAATGAGCCAAGCCTAGTGAATAATATCATGGTAAGGTGGTGAATGAACAAATTCCAAGTTCATTAATCACAAATCATCTCATATAGCATTTAGAAAATATTCAAGCATTCATAAGTGAAGCATAATACATGGTACATCCATTAGAGCCTCTTAATGGAATAATCAACCTGGGTAAGATTAGATATTCCACACTTGGGTGGTGGTGGAGCTCAAATACGGTCATGGTATATTTAGGCTGTCCCCCAATGACTAGGACTATCTAAGGATGCCATCAATAACTTCAAACAAATAAAGCACATTCGTTCATTTAGAATTAAAATAAAGATTCCTTAATCCATAGTGTTAGGTTCCTTAGTCTTGTCAATCCTGTGGACAAACATGTTTTACTGAGTTGTAATTTTTCTTAGTTTTTTTGTCTTGCTCGCTTGAGCGAAGGAGTTCTTGCTTGAGCAAAAGCTGTGTCTGTAAAAGACCTGAGAAGGATGATTGTATGCTTGAGTGCAGGTAGTGTGGCTCAAGCGAAGCCACATAAGGAAAACATGCATGATTGGTTCCTCGCACGAGTGAGAGAGTCTTTGCTCGAGCGAGCTTCACTGTCCCAGTTTTCTATAAGTACTAGTTTTAGTCTAAAACTAGGATGAGGTTTTGAGATCTACTTTAAGGTTTTCTGAGGTTTTCTTTTGGAGTTTTTTTGTGAGTTTTCCTTGATAATTTGAGTGAGTATTAAACTCATTTTTTGATAAGCACACATCAAGGAGGTTGATTGGTCACATTCAAGAGTGTTCTTCTTCGGTGGAATCCGGAGATTCAAGCGTGGAGTTTCAAAGGAGTTTGATACTATGCGTAGTCATTGATTTGACAATAGAAGTTGTAGATTCAACTTCAATCTAATCAATTCTGAGACGAAGGTTGCGGTGAAATATGTACAGAAGATTTGAAGACAAATTGGAAGTGTTTGGGCAATTTGTTTGTTATCTTTGTAATCTTTCTTTCTTCAGTAGTGGATTGATTAGTGGCGTTTTGCCCGTGGTTTTTTGATCACAATTGAAGATGTTTCAATTGTGATTTTTCCATGTTAAAATTGTTTGTGTCGATTTATTGTTTTTCGAAAACAACAATCTAAATCACTTTCGTAAGTGCTTGATGATTTAGATTGTGAGTTTTGAATGATTGGGACTTGGAGTAATTAAATCTTGATCTAATCACGAATCACTTAGGATTTTCACATAGCATAGCATCAAGTTTTCGAAACTGATTTATGAACATAACGTTACAATAATATTACTCACACATGGCTCGCCCTCAGCTTTACATTTGAATGAACTTAGCCTACACAAAAGAATACAAATATCGATAAAGTAAGGACTTATTAGTTAATCTATTTAAACTTTACTTTTTCTTTCCTAATTAAACATGATTTAAGTTGGTTTCTAGTCGTGTTCAACTTTTGATTCGGTTCAAAACAAGTATAAGGGTGCTTGTGGGTCGAAAAAATCGAAAAGAAAATGAAATGAGCAAATGCCCTACATTCCCCACGTACGGGGTAAAGGGCCGCACACGCGGAACCCTGGCCGCACGTGCAGTTATTTCAGTCTCAAAGTTGGTTTCTAGGTAGGGGTTTCCGCACGTGCGAAGACCAATTTCGCACATGCGGAGGGTTAGCTGCACGTGCGGTGCATCATGTCGTATGTGCGAGAGAACTGGACAGGTTTGAGGCTTGGCTGTTCTTGGCCTCCAAAATCTATTTTTCTCATTTTGAAAGCCCAAAACTTGTTTCATAACATCCTAATGCATGGAAATATGATGGAAGACTAATAGAAACTCAGTTTTATGCGTTGATTTTGAGGTTAAAACAATTAAAAGATGTGATTTGATTCAATTCCCATATCTTTTCTAAATTTCTCTTTATCTCATCACTTCCAATTTCAAAAACATGATTCTAAGGCTCCTAGGTATGAAGAAATGATATAATTCATAGCATAATACTTATGTTACTCAAATCTAACATGATATCAATTCAAAAACATAATTTTTCAAACAAATCTTTAAGTTCTTTCTTAGGTTCCAACTTTTCCATTTTCTTTCACTTTAATCTTCCTAGAACTTAGTTCAAACGAATTTCTAGCTAGGTTATTATATCAAAATATGAAAAAGGGTTGAGTTTCTTACCTTTTGGTGATTTCTCTTTGATTTCTAGGGTTCAATCCAACTTTCTTTTGAATTTTTCTTTCTTTTCTCTTTCTTTTCTCCCTTGTTCTTCCTGGCTCCTTAAGAACACCAATTCTCTCAATTTCTCTCCAACTTTCTCCATCTTTCTAGTATTTGTAAGAGTGATTAGCTTAGTTTACTAATTATCTCATTCGGTTACTTAATTAGGATTAGTTCTAATTAACCTTATTTAAATCCTAATTTTGGTTAGCCTAATTAACCTCACTTAGGGTTAAGCTAATCTTGTTTAACTTTTGTTAATCCTACTTAATTTTTGATCAAGTACTCATAAAGCTCTACTCATTAGAACAAGTTCATTAAGCTCCTCACTTAAGGTTTTCTAAGTTATCTAGACATTCAATTTTCCAATTCAAATAACTTGCCTAACTTTTCATTGTTTGCCTAGTTTTCCATCCGTAGGTTTCATATTCAAGTTATTCAAAATTACTATGGCTTCGTACTCAAACTCAACAAATACCAAGTCCTATCATAGCGAACATATTATATGCATTATGCCCATGAAATGAAAGAATTTTCTAGCTAAAGTGGATGCATGAATGTATTATGCATGCTTGGCTATCACAATCTTCCCACCTTAAAAAGTTAGGTCCTCCAACTTGACTTAGCTTACCAAGGACATAAATTCATATACCTTTTCTTTATCTCATTCTCTCTTTTCCATGTGGCCCCTGGCACATAATGATCTTTCCATTCAACTTTCACTAACGGTATGAGTTTGTTTCTCAATTGCTTGACTTGGCAGTTGACAATCTGAATTAGTTGCTCTTCATATTCAAAGTTCTCATCAATAGCTAATTGGTGATAGTCAATGATATGGAAAGGATCCCGGACATAACCTCTCAATATAGAAATACGGAACACATTGTGAATTTGTTCCATTCTTGATGGTAGTGCTAAACGGTAAGCCACTAGTCCGGTTTTCTCCAAGATTTGAAAAGGTCCAATGTAGCGGGGTGCCAACTTTCCTGTCTTTCCGAAGTGAGACTGTCCTTTCATTAGAGTTACCTTCAAGAACACATGATCTCCAACATCAAACTCTTGATCTCTTCTCTGCAAACTGCATAACTCTTTGGCGGCTTTGGGCAGTCTTGAGCCATTGTTGGATGACCATGATCTTGTCGGTTGTGACTTGTATAACTTCTGGCCCTAATAATACTTTGTCTCCCATTTCTATCAAGCAAATAGGTAATCTACACTTCCTCCCATATAATGCCTCGTATGGTGCCATATTGATGGTAGCTTGAAAACTATTGATGTAGGCAAATTTTTCCAAAGGTAGGTGAGTTTCTCAACTTCCTTGAAAATCTAAGGCACATAAATGAAGCATATCCTCCAATGTCTGAATGGTTCTTTTAGATTGTCCGCCTGTCTAAGGATGGAAGGCAGTGTTGAATCTCAATTCTGTTCCCATGGCTGTTTGCAAACTCTGCCATAATCTGGACACAAATTTTGGATCTCTATTTAAGACAATGGAAACAGGCACATCATGCAATTTGACAATTTCATCTATATATAGTAGCAGGTTTGTCCGCGTTGTAAAAAGAATTAACAAGCAGAAAATAGGCGGACTTGGTCAACCTATCTACAATTATCCAAATAGAATCCATATCTCTAGGTGTGCGACGTAAGCCGGTTACGAAATCCAAAGTGATATGTTCCTACTTTCATTCTGGAATAGGTAGAGGTTAGAGTAAACTTGCTGGCTTTTGATGCTTTGCTTTGACTTGCTAGCATGATAGGCAACGAGAGATAAATTTTGCAATGTCTTTCTTTATATTCGGCCACCAATAAATTTGTCTAAGGTCTTGGTACATCTTTATGTTTCCCAGGTGCATAGCAAGTTTGGAATTATGAGCTTCCTCCATAATCTTCTTTTTCACTTCTAGTACATCCAGAACACACAATCTGTTTTTGAATTTCAATACTTGACCTTCTATAACAAACCTTGGTCTTGGCCTTGACTCCATTTCATCACAAAACTTTTTAAGGAATTTATCTTTCATCTACCTTTACTTGATTTCTTCCACTATTACTGGTTGGGCTGAAATTCCTACCAACATCCCTCATTGCTCATGTAATACAATCTACATTTCCATTCTTTCCAAATCTTCAAGTATTCCTCTTTTTGCCTCGTAAGTAAGCATGTCAAACTCCCTATAGATTTCCCGGCAAGTGCATCTACCACTGTGTTGGCTTTACCTGGATGGTGCTGGATCTGCAAATCGTAGTTGTAGACCGCCCGAACTTGCTCCGCGTGCGAAGGCGCGAATTGGGTTCTTAGCTACTACAGTTCGAACACCTGTCACGGTTCTGAATCTAATCTCACAAAGTGCAATGTAAGACTGATAAATCACCAAAGAGTCCAAATTCGCCAATTGATTTTGAAAAATCAATTTTGAATCGAAAAGCGCCAAACGTGGACTGTTTTGCCAGATTTCAGAGTCGCCACCTAAATATTTTATTTTTGGAAAATTTAGGAAACCCTGACTCGTGCCTAAGGCCATGTGTCCGCCATCACCAAAGTTGCCTCGACTCGGAAACTTGGGTACGAGAGGGGAAGGTCCTGAAATGAGCACCCCCGCTCGCCCTATCAAAAGATCAGCCTCTACTAACATGATATGTTGTTTTTGTAAACACATGTGTTCTTATTCTGATTATTAGCTAATTTACTATGTGATGCGCACAACATACAAGTATAGACTAAATCACTCGATTTGGAACAAAACATCTCATGTTCGTTTTTCGAAAAATGGTTTGGAGTTGCTACTCGCAAGTAGGTTAAGATGCAGATTTGCCATCCTCAAGTGGGCTTAAAACATGATGATTTTGCCACCCTCAAGTGGGCTTAAAACTCACATTTTGATGAATTGTTCAAATTCAAGCAATGAAGCCTTCATCCACAGGCATTCATGCAGTTAAACACTTAAGCAAATAACCTCATGGCAAGCATGCTATCATGGCAGTCACTTACATACATGCAATGATGCTAAAGCGTAAACACTCATAGTGTACTCCAAGCCAAAAAAGAAGCTAGTTAGTAATTAATGCATGATCCTAGCTATGTTAACAATGCCTAATGCAACACATGCAAAAATGCAGCTAAAATAGGCTCGGCTGGCTAAGATGGCCTATGAATGCAACAATTTGATACATGTATTCAAATAGGAATTGAAATACAATGCAGTTTGAATGATGCGTCGAGCCCAGTGCATCCAAGACGAATGAATGATGCACGCATGCAAAGCATAAGTATGCTAATTGAAACATGCTCTAAAACTAACCATCAAAAGATGGCAAATAAAAGGGAGAAAGACGTAGGGTTGGAAGACATGCGTCACGCACTTATTACAACATTTGTCCTCTTGACGGAGGGTCCGAATGAAAGAGAGCTAACTAGCTACGTTAATTAAGCTAACTATTACAAATCAACTAATTAACTAACTTAGCTAATTAATTATTACAAACCGAATTGAATCAACTAACTATTCTAAGTTAATTAAGTACAAACCAAATTAATTAATTAAACACTTAACTAATTAATTACAAAATAACTAAGCTAATGAACTAGTTTAGCTAAGCAATTTAAACAAATGGCCTCGGGAAGCAAGGGGGATATGCATGCTCGGTCGGCTTCGCTCGAAAATCCATTATCGTGCCTAGAATTGCCTCTGTTTGCATTTGCCTCGACCTCTGAAAATTGTGCCAATCTCCAAAATGCTTTTTGTCCAACATAGGGACCCTCTGGTGGACTGCCGACCAGAAAAGGTGGCTGTAGACCAGAAAAACTGGTCGGTCGACCACCCTTACTGGTCAGCCAACCAGAAAATTTGCCAAACTCCAGTTTTGCTGCAACAGAGAACAACAAGGGGCACAGCAGTGTATTTGCAAGATATGTGTGCACAACCACCCTCCCTATCATTTCTTAAGCTCAAGGGAGTGCGATACTCGACTCTCGGGCCACCAACCGAGCATCGCAATGCACGATGGCCGAGAAGCCAAGTTTGCACAAGTCAATATCAATGAATGCACACAAATAACATACAAGATCAAAGGTGTCGGTGACCTAAGGAATGAGGCACGTTTCATCACTTCAAGTATGAAACGTCCCTCATTCCTCATGTTTGGATTAACGTCCAATCCAAACACAATGCAACACACATAACATGCCTATCTATCAATGTTAATGTGGCATGCACAAGGTTCCATCATGTAAGCAATGCATGTAAGACATGTTTGGAGGCCAAGAACAACAAAGCTAGTAAAGAGCATCTCACAAGAGGCATGCAATACCAAGTTTAAATGGCTAAACCAACTATGGACAGACCTAAACCATGCCAAAACAGTGGCCTAAATGCGCTGAGATGATAACATGAAAGACAAGAAAATGACGTTCATGCATTAACCCATGAACAAAGCATAGAAGCACAACTCTCAAACATAATGAAGAAGTGACAAATGTGAGAGTGTGGCTACACTATATGCACTAAAATCATGTGTGAAATGATGCCAAATTATCCAAACAACACAAGCATAGCATCCTAAGGACCTTGAATCATTAGGCTAGTCAAAGCTATTGCACTACAACCATGCATAACAAATCCATATGACCCAAACTACTCAAAAAAGAGTTGAAGCATGCTAAATCAAGGCCGAAAGCATGCTAAAACATAGGCTCAAAAGGGAAGGAAAGCATGTTCATTCATTGGCTCACAAACAAGGCATAATGCATAACCCTCAAGGGCAATGAAAGAGTGATAAACATGGGAGTATAGCAAAGACAAAAGCTCTGAAATTACATTTCAAATGATGCCATATCACGCATATACCACAAATAAGGCATGCTAGGAGGCTCAAAGCTCAAGACTAGCTAAGGTACTTGTACCATAGCCACATCAAGCAAGCCCCAAAGGGCCAAGATGACTCAAAACAGTCCCAAGGCAGGTCAAAACAATGCCAAAACAAGCATGGAGTAGGGCTAACACATGCTAGAATGAGAGGCATAAAGCATGACGCATGTAAGGCCAATGAATGAGATGACTTCACCAACAAAGATCATAGTTGTAACATGGTAAAATAACACCAAAAACATGCTGAGATGGTAGCCCAAAAGCTTAGGCAAGCATGCATACATATTGGCTCATAAGTGAAGCATAAGGCTCAATCCTTAAAAAGCATTGAAAGAGTGAAACATGTGAGAATATGTCTACACTACATGCACTGAAATCATGTGAGAGATGAGGCCAAAGCATGTAAACAACTCAAGTAAAGCATGCTAGATACTTGGAAACTCAAAGCTAGTGAGCAAGATTGCACTATGGCTATATAAAGAAAGCCTCTCATGACTTAAACCACTCAAAATAGAGTTCATGCATGCTAAAATATTAGCAAAAACATGCTGGAGTGTAATAAAAAATGGCTGGAATGATGAGCTAAAGTGGCAAGCATATAAGGATAAATGGCAAGATTACACTATAAATGCAAAAAGCATGCATAAAGTGACACAACCAGGCCAAAACAGAGTTATGCCATTCTGAAATAATGCCAAAAATAAGCTGAGAACAAGCCAACACATGCTAGAAAACATGCTCAAACATAAGGCCATCAACACAAGCAACCAAGACACAAGGAGAGGGGATGACCCCCTCCTATTTGGGACCTCAAAACCATCTTTCTACCACTGAAATTCCTTTGAGTTTCAGTGGCAAGAAGGCCAAAAAGAGGTAGTTTCAAAAGCTTTAAAAGGTTGCACAAAGCAAAACAAATAAGGCACAAAAGAGTGAGAGACACCCCTAACTCAAACAAGGCCTTAAACAACCTTTTTAAACACTTCAAAACAAAGGTTTTTGTAGTTGAAAGTTAAGCCAAAAGAAGCATGCAAAGGTGGCTAAGTATGTAATCAAAACAAAGCTTTAAAAGGGGGAATAGGACTCACCCTTGAAGAACAATAAGAACAGCCACTTCTGAGGCAAAACCAAGCCAAAAGCACTCAAATGCAACCTCCAAGAACCTCAGCTCAAGAGTGAAGGTGTTTCACCAGGTGTTTAGTGCAAAAGTGTGAACAAAACTCACTTTAAGGCATAAACTAGCAAAAATATAGAGAGAGAGGGAGAAAACAAGAGAGAGAGAGATATGTATAGCCCTAATGCAAATTTTCTGAACCTTTTGGAAGGGGGAGAGAGCTCCCCTTATATAGAATTCATGCCTCAATCTTGTTAGACAAGCTAGAGGCTTGGTGCATTCCCTCCATACACGTGTATGGAGGATGCCTTTTGTGCCCAATAGCTGGCACAACTGGCATGGAAAATATTTGCAAAAAGTGCAGAAAGGCCGCCGACCAGTTAAAGTGGTCGACCGACCACTCCCCCTAGTCAACCGACCACTAAAAGTGGTCTACAGGGAATAAAATTGGTCGGCAAGGGAGAAAGAGGGTCTACAGAGAGAGTAGAAGGTGGTGGCAGGCTGCCGACCACCCACCCTAGCTGACCGACCACCAAAAGTGGCTGGCAGGGAAGAAAAGTGGTCTACAGGGGGAAGAACTGGTCTACACCCTTGTGCCACCCTCCAGGCAAAGGATAACAAGGTTTGGTTCAAAAACAAACCAAAAAGGAAGAAAGACAAGAGTCCGCAAGACAAGGCACCCAACCAGAAGCCCCGAAAACTAGTCTACGGGCCATTACAAGTGGCCTACGAGAGGGAAAGGTAGCCTACGGATACAAAAAGTGGCCTACAGGCCTTTATTTCCCTCTAGGCAAAGGTAGCAAGGCATAGTCCAAAAACCATGCCAAGAGAAGAAAGTTAAGAGGTCCCGAGACAAGGCGTTCAGCCGAAGGCTTTGGAAACTCAAAACAAGCACAAACATGTGCAATCATCGAGCACTCAATCGATGACGTCTAAGTCTTTAGGATGGTCAAAAATGGGGTGTCTACAATAGTCTTTAATGAGCTTTAACCATCTCCTTTGCCGCATGTTCAATTATTTCTGGGTGAAAAAGTATTTCAAACTCTTATGATCCGTGAAAACTTCACAGGTTGCTCCATACAAATATTGCCTCCATATCTTTAGTGCAA